AAATTATTCAATTTGTCTTACAGGCAAGGAGTATATCCATCATCATGGAAGTCTGCCGCAGTACAACCCATTCCAAAGAAAGGAAAAAAGACAGATCCATTAACTATAGACCAATTGCTCTACTTCCGGTGATATCAAAAGTAATGGAAAGAGTTGTGAACAATCACCTAACCAAGTACTTGGAAAAGTACAAAATTATCAACGATAAGCAATACGGATTTCGAAAATATAGGTCAACTGGCGATTTACTTACATACGTCACTCACTTATGGCAAAAAGCGATTGAGTTGCGGGGTGAAACAAGAACAATTGCCTTAGATATATCTAAAGCATTCGACAAAGTTTGGCATGAAAATCTGCTCAACAAGCTCAAAGCAATGGGATTATCGCCGAAACTTTGCACTTGGTTTGAAAGTTACCTAAAGGACAGATCCATTTATGTTGCACTGGATGGCCAGAACTCCAACTCTTACCAAATAAATGCTGGTGTGCCACAGGGAGCAATCCTTTCGCCAACTCTTTTCCTGATTTACATAAATGACCTCATAGATAAAACAGTAAATCCACTTTATTGCTTTGCAGACGATGGCAATGTAGTCTCCTCACTCAAACCACCCACAGGTCCTTCCGCACGTGAATTCCATCATCTTAGACTAACTCAAATATCGCAGATAAATAACGACCTGGAGATAATAGAGGACTGGGGTAACAAAAACCTTGTACAGTTCAACGCGCAGAAAACCCAAGCAGCTCTGTTTTCAAAAAAGAACAGCACCGGTGAGCCAAACATCATGCTATCTGGAAGTGCGGTCACATTACAGAGTCAGTTGAACATCTTGGGGGTTACTGCAGAGACCAACATGTCTTGGCACAGTCACGTGGCAGATATTGCTAAAAGGGCTTCCCAAAAGCTGGGGGTGCTATTTCGTACAAGACATCTGTACACACCAAGCCAATTGCTGACACTCTACAAAGCCCAGATTCGACCAACTATGGAGTACTGCTCACATATATGGAGTGCAGCACCCAAACATACCTTAATGCTTTTGAATACCGTGCAAAAACGAGCTATCAAGCTGATCAATGACCCCGCACTTACTCGTAACTTGGATGGTCTGGAACATCGCAGATCTGTGGGCGATTTATCTCTCTTCTACAGGTACTATCACGGAAAATGCTCTGAAGAGTTGGCACGTATGATTCCACCGAGAGTAGCACCTACCAGGCGAACCCGTCAAACAGACGGTAACCATGAATTTACTGTCAAACTAGAGGCACCAAGAACCTCATTATATCAGAATTCATATCTCTGGAGAACAGCATCGCTGTGGAATAAACTCCCTGCGACGGTTTTCCCTGCAGGTTACAACCTGAACCGTTTCAAGACCAACACACACCGACATTTCCGCGCACTTGCCGCTTCTCGAGCGTGATAGGACATTTCCTTGCGAGTGCGCATATCCGTAAAAAAAAAAAAAAAAAAAAAAATGACATTTTTCTTAATTTTCGTTCAAATATTTTTGTTTTTTTATGTAGGTAGGTTTTCTTTTCTACTTAAAATATAATTTGAAAACAAAATTTGGACAAAACTCGATTTAAAAGTGGTACATTAGGACGTAAAACGATCTGTAGAATCCAAAAAACAAAAAATATACAGGGTGTGCCGTTTGAAAATCGAAAGTTTCGGTAATTTCCGGTGAAACCGGAAGTCAGAAAAACTTGTCGTGAATGCACAAAAATGACGATTCGTTAGAATATCAAGCCTACCAAGTTTCGTTGATATCGATGAACAACTAAAAAAATGGCAGCCGGAAAGTAATCTCGTGGGCAGCCGGTATACAAATAATGTATTCGGGCATTTTTGCTAACTTTCATTTATACTCGGTTCCAATGATTGCTCAGAGTGAGTTTAAGGTTGTCTTACCGCAAAATAAATTCTTGCTGAAAAATAAATTGCAGTACACATACTATGGTCAAGAATGTCCAGAAATTATCCAGAAATTCAATAATTGTGGAAGAGAAGACATTCATGAAATCCAAAGAGACAGCCCATGCGAAATTAAACTAGTAGAATCTGACAAAAATACCTCCACCTGAGAACAAACCGAAGTTAAAGTCCCGCAAATTATCATCAATCAATTGGACGATTCCAATCAATGGATATTGGTCGTTCCTGTCAAAGAAGCCATCTAATTCAAGGAAGTACAAAACATCATGGGAACATTTATGCTTCAAATACCAATTGGTTGTTAAGTGGCCACCGCTGATGCCATGATGCCGACCCTCAATTTAAGTCGACATCTAAAATATTTGAAATTAGACGACCTTCACCAATTGAGCAAAGAAGAAATGGACATACGCCCACAACTGAGTTTCACCGAAATCAATAGAATACCCAGCCTTGGGACAATCCTTATATATGTCCTCATCGTTATTGCCTGTATCTTCTTGGTTTACATGAAATATGTAAAAGCCGAAGAAGGAAGGAGTTATATCGCGTCTATTTGCTGAGTTTAAAAGGCTTATTTCTCTTTTCAGTTTATTATAAATGTATGTTTTTTCCTAGGATAGTCAGTCAGTTGAAATTAATTATAATTGTAACATTTATTGTAACAAGCTTTCGCTAGTATAAATTTTCGGATTGTTAATAAAGTAATTTTTAAAAAACCAACCCTCGGTTTCTGACTTGGTAACTCACTTTTCAGTAGTATCTACTGAACAACCTCTAATAAATTATATATCATTCGATTCAGCAGAAAATTCTGAGCATTTTTTATCTGAAACTTTTTTCTGTATAATTTATAATTATAAAAAGAAAAATGGTTAAAAAAAAAATAATTAAAAAAAAAATCTTTTTTTTTCAATTTTTGGGGAAACTTTCTTTTATTATTGAATATTTGTGGTTGAAACAATTTTTTTAATAAATTATAGACTTTTCCAAGTAATTTCTTTTTTTGAAATAGAAAATTGATCAAATAATAATGGAGATACGAATTTTTCAAAAATTGCTCCATCCGCGATCTTGAGGTGGCTGTTTTTCGGAAAAAAATAATTTACAGAAATGCCAACATACCATTTGGTAATCTAGTAGTCCCATATTTTCATAAAATAAAGCATTTTCAAACTTAGCACGAGATCGAAGCGAGCGGCCGTTTTTGAGCCCTATGATAATAGACTATCACTTCTCTGGCTAATTAAATTAATATAATTTTGGGCTCGATGGCCAAGAATGAAAACCAAAGTTTTTGGATTTATTTTTTTTTTTAAATTAAGAAAATGGACGACCTTTTCGGTCCTACGACAAAATAGCAAAGATCAAGTCGAAAGTACCCAGATGGTTCCGTCTTTCTTCCTCTGTCAAGCCTGTCGAAATTATAAAAATGACAGCGCTACCGGTTTTCTTAAAAATAAGCCTAGTTAGGTTCGGAGTTGGAGTAGAGTGAACAAAACTAATGGAGTCACCCCCAATATGGTAAAAAGCAGTACCAGAACAGCCGGAGAGCGAATGAAGTCACTCGAAGTGCACGGAATGAGCAAGCCGAACGCATCTCTCAATAACATAATTTTCGTTATTAGGTTAAGAAACTAGTCAGAAAAATCGTAGATGTCGCCAGGTGTACGGAATAGTATTTTAAACTTAGAGCAGATAAAGACATAAGGAGTAGGAACGCGCTTGCTCTAAGATTTTAAATGTGTCCAAAATATATGAAATTAATTGAGAACAATTAAATATGTTCTTGTGACATTTCAAATGTTACAGTAGCAAGACCAAGACCAAGACCGAGACCAAGACCTAATAAATCTTCTCAAGACCAAGACTTGACGTTCAAGACCAAGACCAAGACCAAGCCTCTCTCTCAAGACTCTCGTCTGATCTTGGTCTTGATCTTGAAAAAAAAAAATCGACTCAATAATTATAAAAATATGCAAATTCCTATATCTTCTCTTAATGTCTTTTAATTAAATCAATTCATCAAATTTATTATTTTTTGAAATTCTCGAGAAGGTATTATAGGTTTTAAAAATACATACGTACAACATAGTGTAGGTAACATTCATTTACACAGAACACATCGATATTTTCCTATCCCTACCTAATACAGTACCTAATTATTGGAGTTTCCAAAGATAATTCTCAACTAACTAAAGTCTGTTTTTTTTTAAAGATAAAAGTCAAAATGACATTATGTTGGCAATACAATGTAAAATTGTCAATGCTTTCAAATTTTTATGTAGAAAAGGCTTGTGTTGCCAACAAAGTTACTAAATTTTTGACTTGGGGAATTATCTTTAAATAAAAAACAAACTTTAACTAACCCAAACTAACACCAACCCCACATTTCACCCAAACTAACCCAAACCTAATTATCGTGAATAGGCCAATAAAATTCAAATGAGGTATGTAAATATGAGAAGGTTTTCGAAAACCTTTCTCTGGCCTGAATGCTCAGGTAGGTAAGGTAGGTTTAATGTATGGTTCAAAAAGAAATTATTATTTTTTTCCTCGGTACAGAATGGCAATTTCATGATGTGTTTGTCGACTTTCCTGTTCCGCTAATAAAAATTATAATTTAAGAATTGATGTTTGTTTGTTCTTCTGTGTTGTGGAATGCTTTATGCAGTATTTTTTTGACATGAAACTCTCTTGGTGGTAAAAATAGCCTGTGAAGAAGACCAAATGCATGGTCGAAACGTCGGCATAATTTTTCAGAAAGAGAGGTTTATTTTTTAAGTCCTAAACCCATTAACTCTGCTCTATCGTTGGATGTTATGTGTATTTTAAAAATTTGGTACAAATTTTTTTCAAGACTCTCAAGACCAAGACCAAGACTGGCCAGTCTTGGTCTTGGTCTTGGTCTTGCGAAGCCCTAACCGAAAGCAACAGGTACTTGCTTAACTTGCTAGAGATGTTCACAATTATCAAACGCAGTCCATTATGTCGTAAAACGTCATCTGACATCATTCAAACATTACAAAATTACCGTATTCTAAATTTTCAGCGAACTTTTCTCGATATATTTACTATGAAAAAAAAATGTCCAAGACAATTGCTGATACCTCTATAAAAAATAAATTACTTGAAAAAGCTGATCTTAGTAAATTAGATGGGCTCCTATATTTCGAATCTCCTCTGAGAAAAGCTTATGACGAAAGCCCCAGATTGAATTTACGTAAGTTAACCACTAAAGATTTACCAGACCCACCTCAAGAAATTTCGAAGGGTCGTTTACGACAATTAACATCCATTGACATTCTTGAAATCGAAGATTCGGATGAAGAAACCCCGCAAACGCATTATGATGGTACGCCAAAAAAAACTGTAAATAAAGCCTACAAGCAAACAATGAAAGAACTAAGAGGAATAGCAAATAAACCAATTATTATTGATCTACCAAAGATACCAAAGCCCCAAATGCAGAGGCCAAAAATAAAACCAAACGTTTCCAATCGGGATTTCAGGTGTGGAAATTATCCAGAAAGCACAGTGCAAATGCAAACATCCGAAAGAAAATCTGCTCGTGGTATAGAAATTACAAAAAATTGTTTAAAACCGCAAGGCCACTTACTCAGTGACAAAACCCTGGAAATTGATTTAAATAAAAATAAGTGTGTTAATGAAAGCAACATTGTAAAAAATAATGAAAATGAACAAACTTATGACAAATATATGAGTCCAGAAGTATTTGCCTTTCTTTCGGAGTTGGGTCAATGTAACCCAGCACAAATATCAGAAAGGAATCAAACTGTTCAGATCAAAGCCAAGAAACCAGACGATGAACTAGGCCTTCAAAATAGTATATACAAGAATCCTACACCGAAAGTAATAAAATCAAATAATACAATATTAGAAGAAATATTACTAGACTTAGAAGCTATGGAAGAAAAACCAAAATTTGTAAGTGGTGATAGATCCCGTTCTTGCAAAAAAAAGCAAAAACAAATACTTACATACATCGAGCGAAATGATTCTCAAAAAAGTGAAAGTATAATAGATCCAGAGAATAAAAGGCCTATCAAAATCGCTTACTGCAAATCTTGCAAAAGCGGGAAAAAAATTGACAATTATCGCAGCCAAATTACACAGACTCAAGATATCAAATCTCAATCTCATTATTGTACAAATAATGCAAACAAACATCAAACTCATAATATATTATGTTCGCATGAGGCATCAAATTTACCTGGGCTTAAAAATGAAAAAAAGAAACTAAAATTTGGTGGAAAGTTTCAGAAGCGCAGTCAAAAGGCATATGGGCTGGAACCAATTAAAGAATGCATGTCAAGCTTTTCTCTACCAGATCACACCAATTCTAGTCTCCATAGCTTTTGCAGTAGCGTTATAGATTCGATAAATAAAATGACTAAAAGAATACTATAAGAATACATTGAATTTGTTATTTGTATCTGCGTTTCACTAAATTCCTTAGTTGAAAAGAAGAATACATAATTCGGAATAGAGCTTACACTATTTACCGTGAAACTGTTGCCGGAGATTTTACATAAGAAATCAGTAGAATTTTCCAGATTTAATCCATTAGTCTTTTCCTGAAATTCTTCCTGGTTCTTGTCCAGGCCTCTATTATGCTGTGAAGCCGATGGAAGAGTGAGAGTGTATCTGAAATTTGAGGTATCGTGAGATGTTTCTATGGCTATCAAGTGTTTTTGGGGTACCCAAACGATTTTTTTTTCGCACGATATTTGAAACTATGAAGAGGCTCCACAAGAATTTTGGGTACTGTAAGATTTGTTTCGATTCTGGTGAATACCTGTCTTAGCAGAGGTGTTATTTTAAACAGATAACTTTTTGCTTTAGCGTTAGAAAGTCATTTGGTTTGAAGACGCCGTTGGGATCGATTACGACTTTAAACGAATGCCATTTGGATTAAAAAATGCCCCTGCCACATTTCAAAGAACTAACTCTTAGTTGGTTGCAGAACTAGTCTCGATCTCTTGATAGCTTTTGAGGCCTTTGCTGCGAGTGAATTGCGGAAATTAGTCAATGAAAGCTGTCTCTCTCATCTTCTGGTGCTGTGCCTTAGATAAAAGGGCATCGTAACTCCTTTGAAAATTTACACTTACTAGATTTTTAAAACGGTAATCAATTTGTCTTAAGATAGAAAATAAACTTATATAATTTTTTTGTTTGTTTCAGCGCGTAGTGACAATGAAGGTGGAGAGGTGAGAGGTCGTAATCGCAGCGGGCGTCGCGACGATCCGCGCAGGCACACGTTGAGCACAGGCGCAGACGGTCAGTACCTGCCGAATATGTCTGGTCAAGGTGGTCCTTTGTCGAGAACGATGGATTTGGAGGTAAGTCTTGAATGATATTCTAATTACATTTTGATAACAGTCCAACATCCTTCATCCTCACCCTCGTTTTGGTTACCAAAGTAACTAGTTTATCTTCCCTTAATTTAACTTTGTAGTAGTGTAGTATAACTAGTACAGTATAACTAGTATAGGTAGGGGACACACACAGGAAATATTTAAAGTTAAAGGTAAAGGTTAAAGTGCCATTAGAAAAGTTACACGAAAGAGAACATGAATTTCGTGAAAATGTCGAGAAACACCACAACAGCGAGCATAAAAGCGTTCGATGACAGTAAATTCGGAAACTGGGAGCTTCTCCAACAAACTGAAGTTTTTGATGATCTAACTCAACCAATAATAGATGTTAACAGCTTAGCAACATGAACAAAGAACGATATTAAAACGAGGAATATAATGGGGAGATTTTTTATTTGTTTTTCTGTAATTCTAGAACACACTCTTCAGAGTTTTAGATAAGAGACACTTTAGACATTAGACACTTTAAGTTATACAAAATACGTTAACGCTAACGTAAGATTTGACAGCTGCGCATGCGCAGTTTCTTTTCAGCAAAAATAACGTGTTACGTGTCACGTTATTTAGCAGGTCTTTGCGTGTACCTTATCCGTAAACGTTCGTTGAACCGAGTGGGCCCGAAAGCCAGATTGCCGGTGTCAACCTTTGCCGAATGTATTTTAACCTTAAAAAAAAAGTTGTCATGTAATTCAAATTAATCGAAATACAAAAAAAAAAATTCTAATTTGTCTTTTTCACAACAAAATTTAAAGATAAGGTCATGATTGTAAGATATAACGTTAACGTTTACGTGAAAATTTAACTTAAACTGATTTGTGAGCACCGACGATCACTCGATGCTATAGTAAAAAATAGGGTTTACGTTTAAAGATTACGTTAACGTGTTTGATTCAACTTAAAGTGTCTAATGAAAGCATAAAATATGTGTGTACGAGCTAATCAGTGGACTGTATTTTTAAAAAGTTATCAAAAATCGATAAATGGCAAAACCAATAAAGGACTTACCCCGAAACTGCGTGGGTTTTATGCACTAAAAATAATTGGTTCTGTTTTGATTGCCGGCAAAAATCGTTCTCACTTTTCGGACAGCGACAGCACATATTTTCGGCTACTACATCTCTCTGTCCTTCTTTAATCAAGAGCGCACTCTTGCTCTCTTTTACGGTACCGCGCGAAAAGTCCATGGAAATGCCATTCTCACGCGCAATTAATAATTGAAATTTACACTTCAAATTTAAGACATATATACAAGTTGCGTTTAAATTACCCAAATTACAATACGATAAAACGTAAGTCCCAAACAATGTGCGTCAGAGCCAATGGCTGCGTTCATCAAGAATCGAATGACTGTCAACATGTTCATGCTCAAAAGATTAGCTATTTCTATAACAAGTAGGTACATAAACGTAAGGCTTTATTGTACGAAAAATGTATGGTCGACCGAGCTTGCGATCGAGAACTGTAGAGTGCAACGTAATATTTGAAAGTCTGGATTGAACGATTTGCACAACTAGAATCCATATTTTTCTTAATAAACGTTCTCTTGTCTACTCCTCAAAGTTTTTTCCTTTTTCGTAAAACAGGGAAGCAATGTTCCCCAGGAGAACGAGTGTTCATCTCTCTCAATGATATGCAAAAGATAATATAAGCAAGACGGAACACTCGTTCTCCTGGGAACGCTGCTCCCCTGTTTCAAGAATAAGGACACTGGCCTCAGTGAGGATGTTAATGAAATCGCCAAACATAATGCTATATACTTACATGAAAAAAGGATCTATTTATACTGTCACAACTGCCCGCTTTACGGGGGTGACATGGGGGGTTTGTAGCTTTGGGGTTGATGGAGAGAAACTCGCTCAGGTTATATAAGAATATAGATATATATTTTCCCAAATATGCCCTTACATGTACGCTAATCCTAGAAGATACATGACTCTTCGAACACTGGGGTCCTTATAAGGAGCCACACGTCAACGCTGCTTGGAAGACTGTAGATTAGTTTATTGTCACCCTTATGCCTTGTCCAGAGGGGCGTTCCCAACGAGAGGTAATTGCACTGGACAACGATAAGGCTGAAGATACCCAGAGGGGATTTTCCAACGAGAGGTACTTGCACTGGTTTAAGTCTGCCTTTGCTGCGGCTTGCAGCGCAATTTATATCAATTTATTGCTGAATTGCAATAAACATTCGATCGAATCGGCAATTAAATTAATAAGGTTGAATACCGGGTCCTCCTTTCCTAAGCAGCTAGTTGACAATACCATTGAAAGTGATAGCCTTTCAAGGGAACATTTTACAACTAAATCAATATCCTACACCCTTAATTTAACTAACCTAGATTACTTTATCCATAATAGAACTCGAAGTTCAAGTAGTCTCAGACCTTAAAGTTTTACACTGGAATATCGGCTGTCGTAATCCAATTTGCCAGTCTAAATAATGTTACGGAATTATTAATAAAGCCCACGGCTATATTCCCATCAGAATGGCAAATGACATGATCTCATCGGTTACAGCAACGACTTAACTAGTGCCGGCTAGCTAATCATTCTTAACTATGGCCAATGTTTAATTAATTTAGTTTCCGAGCGGTCCTCGTAAACGTCGGTTGCTTCTATTTTCCTGTGATGTGTGTGTAACGAAAATTTGTTTTTTATGAGTGTACAAGAAGTTGTGCAGTGAAAAATTAATGATCATGTGATGATGATTGTGGGAAAATTTGTAAAATGCTTCATTTAGTGCTAGAATATAAAACAATTATTAATTTTCTGAATAATAGCTTAGATGCACCCAATTAAATTATTATTGGTTATACTTTATACACATCCATCTCTTGTCAGGTGATTAATACTTTATGTATTAACATTGTCTCCTTTTTTCTTCAAGATCGGTAGGGTTTCAGGGTAGTTATGGCCTTTATAAGTTGAAAATGTAAAAGAATTTGCTTCGAATTGAGTGTTATTTTTTCTGATGCTTTTCGATCGGGTCACACATTCACCTCTTGACAGGTGATTAATACTCACAGCTGTATGCAACATCCTCTTTTAACTTAAAAGTGGTTTTTAAAACTGGTCACTTTTGAAAATGTGTATTCTAAACCATACAAATTTTTAAAGGTACCAGTTTTAAAAAGCGCTTTGGAGTTAAAATAGGATGTTGCATACAGCTGTATGAATTTACATTATGTCCTTAATTTTCCAAAATCAGTAGGGTTTTTGGGGTACTTATGGCCCTTATGAGTTGAACATATGAAAAACTTTGCTTTATCAAATTTTCAATTTTTCTGAGTGACTTTTTTCATAGAATTTGGCTCCAAATCTCAGAATAATTTAGTGTGTGGAGTTTGGGGGATCCCAAAGGACTATTCACAAAATCTCAACAAAAAAAACTTTGAAATTTCATCGTTTTAGTAATTTAGATTTTGGAAAACTTTGAAAGTTCATAACTTTTCACAATCCTTGAAAGTTTCAGCCCATTTGGACATATTATAGTTCCAGAAAAAAAATCGTGTTAAGCAATTTGGGGTGAATCATCAATGTTTCAATTATTCTGAGTGCCTTTTTTCATAAAATCTGACTCCAAATCCCAGAAGAGTTTAGTCTTTGGAGTTTAGGGGATCCCAAGGGACCATTAGGACACAAAATTTTGACAAAACAAAAAAAAAAAGAAATTTCATCGTTTTAGTAAGAAGTTAGGTTATGATTTAGATTTTGTTACTATAATTATTTTTTTAAAGTAACATCAGTTCAATGACGTCACTGATGACAACGTTACTTTTAACAGGGGTTATAATAAACAGAGGTGGTACTATTATTTTCTTGAAATAACGTCAATATAGCAATATTGAATATGTAGATAGGTACTTCCTTTAGCAATTTAAAGTAAAGGTGATATTCTTGGTTCTTGGCATTTGTTTTAGAGTAAAAATGGAAATATATAAAAGATAACCTGACTTTGAAGGATAGAATAGAATACTTATAAAACAGGCAAGGCAAGAGAGACAAATTTTCCTATGACCCTGTCAGAAAGTGACAATGATTAACCTTTTTTTCAGGGAGGAAAATAGTTATTTCTCCTCCCTAGGGAGGAAAGTTTTAATTCCTAGGCAGAAGTTTTTTCGCTGTAGATCATAGTTTTAGCTCCAAATGAATAAATTACCTACCTTCATTTGCTGAAAAAAAAATCCTTGAAGTTGATGACCATTATTTTATACCGCGAAGGATTAAAAATGAAAAACTGAATTTTCACTTTGCACACTAATAAAAAAATTTAAAACGATAGGTATCGTATATCTCCTCATGTGTAATGCAAGTACCTATTAGGTCGAGTATTAGGTATAGATTATTAGTTACTATTATCTTGTCGTATAAAAAATCATATACTTAATTAGGTATATTCCTTCATGTATATTCCCTTAAAGTAGTGAAGTTCCGTTTCTCCCTTTGGTAATTTATCGAATTATATACCTACACTCCCCTCCCTTTGGTTTACCTACAAATAACTATTGGGTAAGGACATATGAGGAATAGGAATATGGAGACGCCGTTTTTCTCACAAAAGATTTATATTATCAAATATCAATATGTTGATTCAAATTTTTGGTTTATAAAAAATTCAATATTATTGTTATGTTGTTGAATATCACCTTCACTTTAAATTGCTAAAGAAAGTACCTATCTATATATTGCTATATTGAAGTTACTCCAAGAAAATAATTAGAGTAACACCTCTGTTACTATAACTCCTATCAAAAGTAACGTTGTCATTGAATTGATGTTACTTTAAAAAAATAATTATATTAACACCTCTGTTATTTTAGCCACGGCCTTTTGAAAAACTTTGAAAGGTTATAACTTTTTTTCTATTAAAGATAGAAAGCTGAAATTTTCAGCGATTCTTATCCCAGTAGAGGACTGCAATCCCTGAAAATTAAATTTCATCGCTTTAGTAAGAAGGTAACTTAACTACCTTATGATTTAGATTTTGGAAAACTTTGAAAGGTCATAATTTTTTTTCCATTGAAGATAGAAAGCTGAAATTTTCAGCTATTTTTATCTTAGTAGAGGACTATAATCCTTGAAAGTTTCAGCCCATTTGGACTTATAGTTCCAGAAATAAAATCGTGTTGAGCGATTTGGGGTGGTTTATCAATTTTTCAATTCCTTTGAGTGCCTTTTTTTATAGAATCTGGCTCCAAATTAGATTTTGAAAAACTTTGAAAGGTTATAACTTTTTTTCTATTGAAGATAGAAAGCTGAAAATTTCAGCGATTCTTATCCCAGTAGAGGACTACAATCCCTGAAAGTTTCAACCCATTTGTGTCTATAGTTTCAGAAATAAAATCGTGCTAAGCAATTTGGGGTGATTTATCAATTTTTCAATTTTTCAATTTTTCTGAGTGCCTTTTTTCATAGAATCTGGCTCCAAGTCTCAGAATAATTTAGTGTATGGAGTTTGGCAGGTCCTAAAGGACCATTAAGACACAAAATCTCAACAAAAAAAAAAATGGAAATTTCATCGTTTTTGTAAGAATGATCAAGATTGTGGAAAACTTTGAAGGTCATAACTTTTTTTCTATTAAAGATAGAAAGCTGAAATTTTTAGCGATTTTTATCCCAGTGGCGGACTATAATACCTGGAAATTTCAGCCCATTTCGACTTATAGTTCTAGATATAAAATAGTATTGAGCAATTTGGGGTGATTTATCCATTTTTCAATTTTTCTGACTGCTTTTTTTCGTAGAATCTGGCTCCAAAGAGCCTCACCTCAATAGGCTCATTGCCTATTGAAAAAATAACAGGAAATTTCAAAAATTAGTGCATTTTGAAGAAATTTTCTGCATTTATCTACGTCGTTTCAATCGAAATAGTCTTAAAGTGCACGAATGATTAAAAAACAATCCAAATTGAAGCTAAAGAGTAATACAGATGTACTTTTGGTTTGAAATTGCCTTGAAAATTGCTGTCAATTTTTTTTTTCTATCTGATAATAACCCTCGAACATTGATAGATACTCAAAAATTTTACAACTTTCTCAAGTTTGTTGCTTATAGAAAACAGACGTCGGTCTGTTTTCAAGCAACAAGCTTCCAAAATCTATTATAAAATTTTTTCGGACTATTATCAATGTCCTTGGACCTTGGGCTATTACTACTGAAAACAAAATGATCGAAGGATGTCTAAACCATCTCCTGAAACTCCTAAAATTAACAAATAAGAAAGAAGAGGATATTTTATTTCTTATACTGAGTCAATTTACCAGAACTTTTTCTTTATAAATAAAGTGTCGTTCGAAACTATTTCAAATTGAAGGAAAATTTCCTGTGAAAAGATTTTTTTTTTAACTGAAGTTGGAAACCTAATAAAAAAATCGTCGTGGAAACCGATTCATTTGGTAGTTGGGGTTTTCTTTTTCAATATCCATTTTGACTTACAAAGAAAAATACGTAGTAGCAAATGGAAAAGCTGTTTTCAGAGAGCGTGGAATTTTAAAAGGCCCCGAAAAAAAAGATTGTCCAGAGGGCCAGAAATTTGTTATTTTGAACATATTATTATTTTATACGCAGGGGAACGGAAATGGAAAATATATTCAGGGATTTGGAAAAATATTTATGATTGGTAGCAAAAACTGCTCCACGGATTCTTATGGTACATGCAATTCATTCCAAATACGTCTTCATTTGTGCTCTCTTTTCCAGAATATTGATAATATTATTTTATTTGTTAATACCTATATTGCAAATATACCATTTTCTGCTACTCTGTATCTATTTAATTTTGAGCAATTGATTTACTACAGACGGCTTCATAGTCGGTTTCTTGTCAAACTTTGTCCAACAATGGGCCCCTTTCACATTTTTCAAAAACATTTTTAAATTATTCTCTTAGTCATTTTAATACTATCTGTATAGTTTTTTTCCAAAAAAAAAAAAACGCTTATTTTTGAAAACGAAGAGTCATCTTTATCCCAGAAGGTCTTGGGTTTATAGAGTAGCAAATAATAGTTAAAATTGAATTGTTTTTTTTATAAGCTAAGACAAAATCAGACATGGATATTCGTATTAAGCGAGAATGGAAAAACTATGTTCAAAATACCATTGCAACCCAATTCAATGACAGAAATTTTCAATATTTGTGAGTAGAGACAATGTTCTAGTTGACATCAAAATACAAATCTGAACTTCAACGATTATTTGAAATTATTAAAATTTCAATCCGATAAACTACATCAAATCAATATGTCAGCGCACAGTATCGCGTCTCTGCCACCGAAACTCGAAATGACTTCCGCGCTCTTTTCTCCGTTGCGGAATCAGTGCGGAAATAAAACGCAGTACCAAAAGGACAATAAAAATCAGGCTAAGCAGGTTAATTTCAATCCCGTCGCCAGTGTCATCGCTTTTTCGGATTCCATGGATTCTCTCGCTTCCAATAAAAGCGCACCGCTCCAGAATGAAAATCCGGACAAAGAAGGAAAGGGACGACTGATAAAGATTTCTGAGCAATCGTTTGTGCTCAAAAGGAACGAACCGGTTAATTTAAGGATTACCGTGGAGCCTGGCATTTCTAGAAAGGTAATTATAACGGGAAAATATCTTGATGATTTAGAGCGCTTTAGGTTTACTTTCAATAAAATATATAATGGCTCTATTTATTTATTTGTTTAAAGGGACGAGCACAATTTTTATTTAAAGATAAACAACAGCAAAAAAATATAAATACCTATCCCTTTTTATCATCGCCGGGCTATAACCTATATGAATCATTACACTGTTGTGCTTTGTCGAAGCAGTTCAGTTTTATCTTTTCTACGTGAAATAATAGTGAAAAATGCCTTAAAGAAATAAAGTTAATAGTGACAATAGTGACTTGGAGAGAAAGAGGAGGAAGTTAAGGAAGCATTTAGAGGATCTGGAACGAAAACGAAACCGTCGAAAACGTGAAAATTCCAGTAAGCAAAATTGTGTTTATTTTTTTGGGCAAAACCTTTTAGTCCAGTATTAGCAGGCATTTAAAATGGTTCCAATACATTTTTGTTTTGGTAAATCCAACAGGTTTCAAATTGGTGAGTTGTTTGTGATAATACCAAGTTGGCTCAGAATTTGTATGTGTTCAGACGCCTGCAGACTGGTTCCGATAAAGTAGTAAATATTTTTTTTTTCCGGATAATATCAATTAGCTTACAAGTCGTAGGGCTATAAATATACCTAAAAAACACCCTTTTCAGGTGACTCCAGTATAAGTTCTGGTTCGGATTTTTCTGAAAATGAAAACCCAGATCCAGTTATTGTGAACGATGAGAGGATTGAAGATATAAGTCAAAATAAGCCTGAAAAACAAGAGCAAGACCCAGAAATCTTGAAACTATTGGGAGAAGAACCGTCTGGTAGTGATTCAGTATTTGGTAGTGAGGTACATCGGGCTCTCGCGGATCGTTGGACCAAATTTCTTACTAAGGGTTGAGAAAGCTGAAATAGAGGTTATGGAAAAAAAATATCCTGTTCCAAATATTTCTTATTTATAAGCCTCTGCATTAAATCCTGAATTAGAATCTTCATTGACAGACCAGGGTAGAAAGGAAGATAAATATTCTTCTATTATTCAAGGACATGTAGGCCTAGCTCTTTCGACAATAGCAACTTGTATTGATGCTATTTTAAAAGGAGATGAGTGCCCTATTAAAAATATAAATAGTCAGATTTTACTGTCTATCGTCATTGCTTGATCTTGATTATATTGTTGTTCTATGCTATAAATAATCTAAGCAAAACGTGTGAAAGCCGAAACGACTGAAACCTTTATAATCCCAAATCAACACTTTAATTAAGATTTTAGATAATGAAACCACCGAGAATGGACACCGATGATCCCATAGAAACTAGTTTTTCTTTGTCGCATTGCCTGTGACAAAAAAAAGGGTTCCACTAAAAAGCTTGGATAGCTAAAATACCGTTTGATGTGTTGCCGGAAATCTGATCAGCGTCACCGCTTTCACTTGAAATTTGGTCAATGTTATAAGTTCGAGAGTCTCTGATAGTTTGCTAACTATTATGAAGCATCGCCCATACATTTTTTAAATGCCGCCGTTCCTTGATAAATCGGTAACCTAGCTGAGCGATTGCTTCTGACAGTTTGCAAACTGTTAGAGACTCTTGTGAGAACAAGCCTATAGAAGTGTTGTTACAGGAAAGCTGAGAAAAAATATATAACTTATTGCGGTCAATATATTTATAAGGGAAAATGTTCATAGCTCAAAATCGGACACGAGTAGAACCTTGGATCTCTTGATTACCAGTTTATCAGATTAGCCCTTGAGTTCATCTCTGATATAAGACTTCAAAATCCTACGAACATTTTACTTAGTTTATTCAATTCCATCGTAAGGTCGATATCAATTACTCAAATCCTTAATAAAGGACCCTTCAAAACCGGAGAAAGGATTCTCGACATCAATGGCTAAGTCAATTTAAACTTAAAATGATAGCTAAAATTTTTCCAATTAAACAGATTAAAGACAAATCGGTTTAAAAAAAAAAAGCACTTTCTAAAGATTCGATTATAATTCTACTTTTAGGTCACTGGATACCTACTTAATAAATTTCCCCAATCAAACTAAAATTCAAAATTAGAATTATACTATGTTGGTAACAAATCATAGCGTAACAGCACACAAATGATATTTGAAATAGGTACAGCATTTATCCCAACTCATGTTTCACAGCAAAGCAGCGTTAACAACGTATCTATTTAGCCTTTGTTACAAAATGAATATTGATTTTCCATTGGCCTTTTTGTGGTTTGTTGAAGGCACAAAGTATATTCAAGTTTGATACAATGTTAAAGGAATATTGCTAAACTTTGGAGATGAACTTATGAAAGCGGAAAAATAATTTTTAAATAGGTAAATTCTACTTTTTTCATTTCTATCAACAGTTGAAATGATAATAATTTCAATATTAATAAATTAGTGTAAGGAAATCTTCTGAAAACTAAATAAATATTTCATTTCTAGAATTTGTACTTACAAAATACATAATTTTGTAGGTTATGACTTGCCAAATAAAATAAATGAACATGTCAAGACCTAACATTTTTTATTTCTTCCAGGGTCATCTTCGGGGTTATCCTCCTCCATCAAATGCTATGTTGTTTGACGACGATCCCGGAATAATGTCGGAAGTAGAAACTAGTTCAACGGGATTTCGAAGGGGTGGAAAACAGCGAAGTTCTCTACCAGTGGTTAGAACTCCCAGTAAAACTCTGGAGAGACCATTAGGTAAGAACAATTTTAAATCAATATAAAAATACTTGGATACAAACTTTTAATGAGCAAATTTAATTCACTGGTTTTTTTAAATTTACTTCTCACCTAAATTCTTACTTTACCAATAAGCAGAAAGTTTAATTGAATACTTTTAGGGTCTAATCACCTAACTGGCTTTTGAAACTTTCAAGAAGCTAGATTAAAAGTTTAATTGGATTTCCGAAAACAATTTCCCTTGTTTTGCTTTTACAATTTTATTGAAATAATAATATAATATGAATCACTTATTTAACAATTTTGCTTTAATTCAAGCTGAAAGAGTCCTCAGGAATGACGAACTTATTTGAGAAAGAAAATATTTTCGCATTTGATTGAGAAAGAAACCAATTAGTTGATATTTTTTACTTTATTGTCTGATGTTATATGAAAATACATAAGTTTTCTTTGAAAAAACATAACAAAAGCTATTGTTTTCTTTCAAACAAAAAGCATTTCGAACATCGTTTGAAACATTTTTTTCCATAGAAACTGTCTTTGAACCAGGGCTTCAATAGCAAAGCAAGTAGTCGTTTGCTTTTCGACTAAAATTACAATAAGAATACACAATTTGAAGTATTATTTTGATAATAATAATAGATCTCCATCTAAATGAATCACTTCATTTTGTTAAATTATCTTATGATTAAACTTTCTGTTTATTAGATTTTGTTAGAGCTTAAGTAAGTATTGAAGATTTAACTGATGATTCAGGTGCTATAGAATTCTTTATTTATTGGCGATACATTTCTTGCATCAATAAAATATTAAACTGTGTAATTGATCAATTTCAAGTAGGTATAAGTGCCATAATGATAGCATTATTATTATGCCAATATACCTATTAACAGTTTGAAACTATGGTGTAAGGAGATTATTTCTTGACATTGGATATTATTCCGTATTTTGGTTTTCGATTTCATTGGCAATATTTTCTTCCAAACCATTACTTTGTGCTTTAATACTATAAATTATTGAAATACATTAGAAACATTTAAATTGGCAGCTAGAACCTAGAAACTAATCATAAAATTCCTTACTTTTTTTTATCATAATGTAGTATAACATACCCGGGTTCGCTCAGTAAGATTGAACGATGAGAATTTTTAAACAACAAATATTTTGAAAAACAAATAGGACCTACGTTGTGGAAACTTACTCAATTTTACTTACTGGACATGCGGCCGACATAGTAAATATTTGGGAAATTTAAGGGAAGTTGTGATATGTAAAAGAAACGAAAAATTTGTGAAACGTCTACTTTATTAACAAAGTGAATCCTACCGTTCTCGACCTGGAATTCTCGAGGGGAAAGAGAACGGCAGAGAAACCCTCGATCTATCATTCCTCAAAAATCGAAACATACTGTGTCATTTGTGATTCAATAATTCAATAATTTAAGTCAATAAAAGTTTAAATTAGGTATCGTCTTTGGTCTTTGTGCTAAAATTTCAATTACCTACACACTCAACACTCAATCAACACTACCTATATTCAATATTGAAGAGTTTTTTTGTTAGTTAGCCAGTTTCCCAGCGGATACTGCGGTCCCATACGGGAAGCTACTCAGCTATAGTTGTTTTTGAGCCAATATCTCTAGATTGATTATTTCAATTTGTTAGGATATTCTCTCGTCAGGGTATGAAAATGTTAATAAATTCAACAAGGCTCTAATGCACGCTCTAAATCCACAAAATCAAAATATCAGCACAAAAAGACAGCACATAATTTCTTAGGTTCTAATTTACTTCTTTATCTGTGTTGTTTACAGTTTGAAACGATTTTTGTTAAATACATGAACAATGCACATGTTATAAAAAATGTTATAAACAAACAAAAAATACATAAAAATGAACAAAATAATAGGAACTTGCATAAATTGAACTCTCAAAAACAAAATAACATTTAATCCACTTACTTGTGAACGCTCCTTATACACACACTAATAACAAATTGGATTGAACAATCAATTTTAATGCAAAATAGAAATGAAAATCGAATAAGACACGCGTCTAAAGGACCAGCCCAACTTCTTCTGTAGTCTAGTTGCGTATTCCGTATCTCCCCTTCGTACGCTTTTTCTGTGGTGCCTCTAGGTTCGTCCCTACTTGACGGCGAATTACATGGTTGCAACATTTATTTTTATTCAGTAAACGTTTTTTTAAAAAGTTTTGAAGAAATAATATTCGGTAATAACCTACTTATTTCAAAAACGATTTCATTTCCTTCACCGTGCTTGGTATTGGGAATTTTCTTATTGCCATTCTTTGGATGATGGAATTCCATCTGGCGTAATTAAGTACATGTCCTAAGAATTCAACCATCTTATGTAAGAATTCTGATTTATCCAATTGTATATTTAAATTAAACTTTTCTAGTCTCAAATACTTCCTTTGAATTTTTTACGTGTTCTTGGAGAGAACTATAATAATAATAATAATAAAGTTTATTTACTAAGTTTACAATAGCAAGTTTACAGTGGAAAAAACTTACATCTAGCAAATAAACAATAATCACAGAAGCAGAAATTAATCTGCTTGTATGTGATGTAGCTATCTATTATCTATATTACTTACTTAAACTATACTTAAATATAATATACTCAGCTATCATTTAAATTATTAAACATACCTATCTTAAATTAAGATATCTATCTTATTGATTGAGATTCTTAATCATTTCTTTTTCAAGAATGAAAACACAAATCGGGAAAATCTGTTTAGTCTGGTATAACATTGTCAACATTGGGTAAATATGCCAAAATCATATATAAATTACATATTTAAAGTAGGTACACATTATTTAATTTTGTTATCTAAGTATTTCGTGAAATGTTTGTCGTCCTGTCTGTTGAATCCATTTTTTTATAAGAACTTTTATTTTATTTTTTTGTTTGAATTTTTGTTTAAGATTTTCAGGTAAAGCATTATATAATTTCGGAGCATAATATGAAAAGCATCTTTGACCAACCGATTTTTGTGTTTTTGTTGGAACTGCCATTCTATTTCGAGATCGTGTGGTGTAGGAATGGGCAGGGTATTCAATTTCAATTTTTTCTTTATGAATGTTCATTAATATATTTTGAACGTACAATTGTCTAATATCCAATATGCCCGATATTTGATAAAGTTCATCTGAAGGAAACAAACGCTTTTTTTGGTATATTATTTTCAAAATCCAACTGGAAACAATTATTTTGTCAGTCCATGTATACTAGACATAATCTATCCATTACTCTTTGGATTGTTGCTGGTGCGTTCCTTAATCCAAAGGGCATTCTGTTAAATTCGTGATGACCATTTTCAAAATTAAATGCTGTCTTGGGTATCGAATTTTCATGCGTCTTGACTTGATGAAAGCCAGAGCCTAAATCTAGTGTAAAATAATAACTACTACCATTTCGTACATCTGTAATATTAGGTAATGAACATAATCATCGATAAATGATTAGTACGCTATATGATCTCATCGGATCTTTTTCACAATCATCATTTTACAATGTAGTCATTTGTTCTATATTAAATATCTCAAAGTTTTCGTCATCATAAGAAAATATAATATCTTCCAAGTTATTAATATTATACTAATAGAGCAATTTTGTACTTCAAAAGGTACCGTCCCATATGTGACTATTGTTGTTGTCGAGACAATATAATATGTTTCATTAATTATCGAAAAAATTAGAATTTCAACCCTGACAGCTATGTTTGTATTAAAATAACATATCTGGAACGAGCTGCTTGGAATCTCGAAGTTATAATTTTCGTAATCTGTTTTATATTCGAATGGAATTGTTGTTTCATTATTAAAAAGAAGCATATTAGAAAAATCTATATTTAAATTAAATTTCCCTCTGTAATGCTTTGATTCCAGTAATTGAATGTTATTTTCGATATTATATTGTTATAAAATTGGGGCATTTATTTTTCTTTGGGTTTATCTCGTAAGTACCTATACAAGTTGTTAACTTGTTTTGTTAATTAATTATAGAATCTGAGAAATATTCTTCTGCGGTCGAGGGTCTTATTGAAGAGGTGTAGCATCCGTGCCAACTTCCTGTTCTATAAGCGTATAAAATCCCTAAACTTGTTTACTGCCAAATTTTTGTACAATACTTATACTCAAAAATCGTGTACCTACTTAGCCAGAGTAAATACTATCACAACAGTGAACATTTCATCTAAATTCATTTAATTAGAAAACCAAAATATCTAACTAATCATTTACTATACGGAACAAAACAGTCAATTTGATTATCCAAATTCTCATTTGAATTAAATTTCTCTATCTATACTAAGCTTAAAAATATTCGAAGTCAATCCACTCAAGTTAATAATATTTATGCAGTAAAATTTCATAGTTAATTCACTTCATAGTCATTTCAACATTGATAAAGTTGTCTCTAGAGTACTTACATTTAAATTTCCCTTGAAGTCGCCGGTTATTTTAATTATTATTCACTTCAAAATAGCTAGAACACGCACATAAAAACTGAAACGATCACCTTTTTTTTTCTTAATTCGAGTTATTTACTGTATATATTACATTTCCGAGGCCCGACTTTCTATACTTGAGATAATTCGACACTTCTGAATACTACTAATTATTGAGTCTAGTTCTCGATATTTGATTAATGATTGCCCTCTACTTGAATGATCGCCCCTTTCATACTATTATTTACTCACCACAATCTACATTATGGGCGGTCGTTTGACCATCTGTTATTCAATTCTATTGGTCGACCTAGATATTATTCCAAAAAATATAACTTGCTCATCAGATGATGATCAACGAAATGGGGAAGAATGTAGAGGACAATTAATTCAAGGAAAAGCCGAACTCGTGCCGGCAATAAATTATACGATCTTTTGAAATATCTGTTATTTTGGGACCTAATTTAAATAGGTACCTAACCTTGTATTTAATTTTTTCTGGGTTTTGATTTTGGGTTTAACTAACCTGATGACACACGTCTG